CACTCAAAGTGATTTTACCGACAAAATCTACATTCACCGTTGCTTCTAGCTTCAATCTACTGAGGTGTCCAGTGTTATAAACCCCGTGACAATTCGAAGATTGTTAATGAGACTTAAATCGAGGAAAATCTTGTCTTAGACCGTTGGAAGATCCCCATTCCAAGTTGGGGATGGGGACTTCTAAGTTCTTGAGTTAGGCTTTAAGTTGGTTTCCACTTGGGAAGCAGAACCGTTCTCGTCCAGTTACTAGAGTGTGTAACACTTTTGTTTTATTTCAAGTGCTACAAACACATTTGTCCTCATTTACGTAATTTTAGAATTGTAATGATCAAACTGAAGGTTATAGACAGCATTTGAAAAAATCCAAAACGAATGCGAGGTTCGCCATCACCAATCTAGTATATAAAGTCAGTGGTTTCAGTATTTAATAAAATTAATGAACATTTGTGTAAAATTTAAAAATTAAAGATAATGCCAGTTCAACATAATATTATATTAAACGTTCTCTAACCCAGTGTGAGTTCATATTATCAAAGCAAAACCTTTGAAGGCGGGTAAAAGGACAATAACTCACAATCTTTAAGTTGTTTAATTTAAATTTTAATGTTTAAAAAAGCAAGGGGGGCGACATGTTTCGGGAATTTAAACTATTATGCGCCTGATGATGGGACTGTGTCCTTTTACCCGCCTTCAAAGGTTTTGCTTTGATAATATATATTAACTGTTTCATTGTTTACAATCTTTAAATATTACTCTATTATTTATTTATCCGTTACAACTAATAAAAATAGATGAAAATACAGCAGAGAAAAATAATGACCAATAAGTCTCGGTAAATTGATATGAAACTGGTTAGTAGATACGTACCTAATACAAAACAATATCATATAATCAATCATAAATGGAAACCAATTTCGTTTATAATAATATTATCTAAATGACTCAATATGCAGTTCAGAAGGCAGCTGCATGCCATTATCCTTATCAATCGATAGCTCCGTTAGTCACCTTCGTATTTGCTCGACAAAATCAGATTTCCCTCCAGACTTGCATAACTTTGTTATAAGATATCGCATCAAGGACATTTTCTCTGCTAAGATGCAATACAATTTAAGGCATCATTTTTCTTATCCGTTGTTTTTGTATTTTTGTATAAACTACTACTACTACTACTGCCATTACTCGCTGACGAGTATTTGACACGCATCAGAAGATGGTCAGCCAAGGCGTTTTATTTCATGAGCTTTTCTGTGACAGAAAAGCCCGATACGTGATGTTATCTGTCTACCGCACTCCGGACATTCAAAAATCTCATTGCTTTGTTGCCTCGTTACTTTTTGGTTGCCGCTGTTAACTGAGTTTGCAATTCTTCTCCATTCCATTCTATTGTGAGCTGCTTCTTCCCACTCATTCTGCATTTTTGAGTTTTCCCTTTTAAGTTTTCGTCAAAAATATCCTTGTACCTTTTGAGTTGTCCACCCGGCCTCCTCTTACCGTCTACAAGCTCATCGTAAAGCAGAGATTTTGTTATGCGGTTTTCTTGCATTCTGCAGGCGTGATTTTGAAGTAAAAAACAAAATATGTGTAAAATTGATCCATGATCTTGAATAACCACTGGTTAAATCAAGAATGGAACATTTTTAATGTTGAAATTTGGGTTATATGTTAACGAAAGGCGATATATTTGATCTGTCTAAATCAGAGGTCCCCAATTTTTATTGTTGAATATGTGTACTTTCGTTAGCCTATAAACCAGATTTCTGCTTTCAATATGTCGAATTTATCATTCAACCAATGCCTATTCAAGACCATGTTTTTGTCAATTTTACACCTATTTTATTTTTTATCTCGAAAACTGTTAGAAATAAGTATAACAGGAAAATTATGAGAAATGAAAGTACTTTCCAAAAATGTAATAAAATACCGGGTGTTAACCATTTAAAAAAACAAAGATGCTATCGCTTTTCAAATGAAGCGACAACGCTGAATCGCTGAAAATGCTTTGGATAGGTGGGGCCTTTATGTAAAAATTCATTTCGGCTGTATTCCGTTGCAAAACCAGGCGAACTAGACCAGCAAACTACGGTAAAGAGCGGTTCCTGAAAAACATCGGTTTGTCATCAAGAAAATGTCAAATGTTAACGTTTTCTAAATTTCAATACCTTTATTATAAACATATAAAATTTATCTTTTATGCATTTTTAATGTACCTATTCTCTGCTTTTAAGTTTGCTTCTTCTTTTCAATGGCGTTTAATATTGAAAAATACTTTATTAATGAACTGTTAAATATTAAAATAGATCAATAATAAATAAACAAATCTAGTAAATATTTATATTTTTATAGCTTACAAAACATTCACGATTACTTGTCTTGTTTCTCATGTTTTCTTAAATGTTCCTGAGTTTAAAAAACAATGGGTGCAGGATAAGTTTAAATGGTCCTAAAAAGTCATTATATTTAGTTAAAAAAATTTATTTACCTTTACTACCTACCTCCATTGCTTTTGGTACCTCCATTGCTCTACAAAATATTATTACAAATTTTAGAAATTAAATGAGAATTTCACTCGAACTTTGAACCAATATTTGCTTGATTTCTGTTACATAAATGACACTGATTGACAAACAAAACCAGAAAAACTAGCCTTCTCGCGCTGGTTAGTTTGGTGACAATTATGAAAAATATTTTTCAGGAACCGTGTTCTGTAATAAGAAAACTTTCAGGAAACCGATAGAAACGGAACATACCATAATCAAGGTAAGCAACAGAGTACACCCTTCATTTACTGGTTCGGAATAAACGTCTAACGTCTAACCTTCCATCACCGTGAATCGCCCTGTATAGGGTGTCCTATTTAACCAAAAAATATAGTTTATATAAATATGTAAGTATGGAATTTGACGGCGTGTGTCATTTTTGGAAATATATATTTAAACTCGACTAAAAACCCTATAATTTGTTATTTTAATGAATGATGAGACAAAATAAAATTCCAACACTGTATACGAGTTTGTTGTCATCCCGTATTCTAGTTGTCTATTTCGGTGTCGCCTTTCTAGGTGTCTACTTAATATTTCATATAGAACTTTCCTGAATTTATTAACAAACTAAACTTTTCAAGACTAATTAAAGTTTCTAATATATTCTGAACCTGTACAACAAGCAACGTTTTCTTACCCTATCACATTAATTTACGTTGAACGCCTTTTACTGGCGCTAGGCAATTGCAATGCGAAGAAATAAGAAGCGAGCACCAGCATTGCGGATTTTTTCCATGTAATTTCCGATTTCAGATTAAGTGTGATTTAGTGCGTCGTAATTCATTTGGTAAACTGGAGGTGTGACTTTAAATTTGTCATTTGGTGCACAAACGTGGTGTCGTTGCAAATATGGGTGTGCTTAAAGGATAATTAATGGATTTAGTGCTACATTTTTCTGCGCGCGACAAAAAATGTATATAAATAATCAGTAGCGGTTCCTCAAAAAGGGCACAGGTGTACGCGAATCCCCAAATTTAATGTTTCTTTTTAAGAAAAAAATATATTTAAAATTTTAACATTCTTTCCTTAATTCTGTTTACTATAAAAACGATCCGCTATTCGTTAAAGATTTGAAATTTATATGTTACTGATAATGATGTATACAGGGCTTTTATAATAATACCCGGCCAATAAGATAAGTACCAAAATGTCCATGAATTAAAGTCAATCTTAAAAATGTTAATCTTTCATTGTCTTTTGTCAATCATTGTCCGGAAAATGCCATTATTGACCAGATAAAATTGGGAAATTTTGAAATACAACAGCTAACATTTCGTTAATATCTCTGTTTTTAGTCCTTTTAGCCCTTTGTACTGACCCCTTACTTTGACATTCAATTTTAAAATCAAGACATTCAAAGCAATCATGTCTGTATTAAGCTTCATTAGGACCTTGCAATTAGCGGAATAAATTAGTGGTTTCAATTACACTCTATGCTTTTTAGAATATCCTAGCAACAACTTGCAGTAGGGAGTTGTATCCATAGAGAAAGCCTAATATTTAGCTTATAAAACAATCAACTTGTGATTTCTAACCACAATTTCTCTTGACGGATGATAATCAAAGGCCAAAACGACAATCCTCGCAAATTTTGAATTATAATTAGTGGAAAAGTTAAAAGTTTGTTAACTTTTTCTACTAATTGAAAATGACTGCCATTAATTTTTAAGTTTTGAATGCTTACATTGGAATTAGAGGAACAAACTTCTACGCTAATTGAAACCACTAATTTATTTCACTTTTTCTGTTGAACGTACACGTTTCTGTTGAACTTTTGGCACAACATCATTTCAAATTTATGATTTCAGTCTAATAACTATTTAGACAACATGTTTAATTTATGTCAATGATGACAGGTATTGATAATTCCGATTCCAAATATCTCGAGAACTGTCAAGAGATCTGTTTTGCGTAAAAAAGGTCGTAAATGTACATTTTTTTACTCAGTAGTTTTATACAGGTACAGACTAAAAGTTACTACTCTTCAAACCAGTTAAAAATATGTAGGTGGCGCCCTTTACAAGTAGGAGTCATATTGACATCAAAATCAAATTTCTCATGTCAAAAAACTCCCAGACACCAATTTCCATCCAAATATTTACGTTACTTCATAAATTATTTGGAAAAAATCGAAATAAAAATGAAACTTCTACACCCTGTATCTCCGAAACTAAGCATTTTAGGACATACATTTATACGAACTTTTTTACTTATTTTTATCTACAGAATATGCTTCCGAAGTTTCCGGAATACAGTTCGGACCACCCTGTATATTGGCAGAACGGCATAGCATAATATACATTATAAAAATTAATTGTCACGTCAAAGTCTACTACGACTCGGATTTTTTTCTCACGACCATCACGAACGAGACCATTATTATTATTAGACGTACACCGAGACCTAACCTAATAGAATCTAAACTAATTGAATTAAGCTGATTAAATCTAAACTCACTCTGTAAGATTGCCGATGTCCGGTTGATGGGCCCTAGCAGCGACCTGGAATTGTGTTGCAGCAGGGCGATGAAGTCCCTCCTGCCCTGCTGCTTTAGAACGGCCTCCACCTCGTCGTCGCAGCATTGTCCTCCGCACACGCTTCCTGTAAATGAAAACGGGAGGAAATAGAGAAATAATAAGGCTTCGTCGATTGTCAGTTATGAAATAGAGCCAGTGATTGTGTACAATGTGTACATGGATCGGTGAACTAGTATCGTATATTCTGGTAGGGTAGGGGGCAACATTCGGTTGCGATTTCTCTATAAGTGCACATTTATTCCAAAACGATTCGTTATAGTCATGAAATTTATGTCCCCGGATTGTCTTTACAAGAGAAAAAACTTTTTTGTTATTGACATTTTGAGAAAAGTGCATTCTTCATAAAAAATGTTGCTTCTTCTAAAATGGTTAATCCCGTTTATAAAATCTTTTTCAAATTTCCATACCGTTTGCGAGAAAATTAAGAAAACCATGAAAATACTGTTAATTTTTTTCCTAAAAGTCCTAAAGTCTAACTGCTCGCTTCCTTTGATGTATCTTCGTTGTTCCCAAGTGTTCCAGTTCCACATACTTTAGACTACTTGAAGGAATTACTGAACGCAAATGGTCTCGACAACAAAACTGTGATTGAATATATTGAGCTTACATCGTTATGTTTGAAACAAAATTGTTTATAACTTTTATAAACAGCGGGAAGGTACACCAATGGGTAATCCATTGTCTCCATTTCTGGCTAATTTATTCATGAGCAGGTTTGAAGTAGAGGCTAAGAATCAGTTTGAGTATATTACAAGAGTATGGTTTAGGTTTGTGGAAGATATTTTTGCTGTTTTTGACACACATTCAGACACCAGAGATAATTTTATTTCTAAGTTAAATAATCGTTTTCCTTCCATTAAATTTACACATGAAATTGAGAACGACAGATTACCATTTTTAGATGTATTAGTTAAATTAGTATAGTATTAATTAGTATTTCTAATATACTAATAATTGCCTGGAATTTGATATCTATAGGAAAAATACCAGTATACACAGATATATTCCTAATGAATCATATCATAGTGTTGAACATAAAATGGCTAGTTTAAATTTCTTAGTTCATAGATTACTTAGTTTTCCATTTTCCAACGAAAGATATGAAATAGAAAGAGATTACATTAGAAATGTAGCTGAGTGTAATGGATACTCTCCTTCACTAGTTGATAAATAATTAGAATACGTAGGTATAGGTTAATGATTTCTGAAAATTCGAGTTTTCAAGTGGAGAAAGATACGTCAAAATATTTTCCAATGCCGTTTGATGACAGTTATCCCGTGGTCTAAAAGGAATTTTTAAGAATGTCAATTATAAACTTGTGTATAGTGCTAATAATAAATTACAACAATTATTAGGTAATCCAAAGGATAAAACACCTCCACTGGAAAGGTCGGGTATTTATGAAATTTCTTGTAAAGATTGTAATCAAAAATATGTTGGGCAAACTAGAAGATCAATATTAACTAGATTTAAAGAACATTTAGCTCAGATAAGATATGGTAGACTGGATAAATCTTGCGTTGTTAAATATTGTTGATAAAGAACATTTTATAGATCTTAATAATTTGAAATTAATTAAACAAGTCTCAAATTACAGGCAATTAGATGCCTATGAAAGCATCAGAATTAATAAATGTAAAGATAGTATGAACAGAGACAACGGTCCAATTCCTTCAAGTTCTTTGTTCCTACTACTCTAGTAGCGGAAATCTAACGTTACGCTCGGTGGGCTCTGACTCGGTTGGCTAGATCTTGCCACGCCCACTCGGTGCCCACTGAGCGAATATATATAAACGCTCAAATTGTAGATTGTATTTTAGTTTTTAATCATAATAAATCCTATTTATTAGGTACTTTCTAAACAGAAAGCCATTTTTTCCTTCTTGTTTTGTTTACATTTCCTTATCCATAGAAACTTTAAAAAGTACAACGTATTAGTTAATTAAAAGGAATGGTCAAAAACAGAATTATTGAATTCCGTATTACATTTTTCTACAGCACACACGCTGTTCGTAACAAGAAAAACTCCACGCGAAATTGAAATCGCTTTACTAATGCGAAAAGCCGAAAATTCAAGAGCGTATATTTCGAAAATGATTACGTTTTAAAACAATGCAGAGGCAGAAAGAAATAAAGCCGAAAAAATACAAAGCAAAAGCGAAACCTGTAGTAATATACGTAATACAGAGAATGGAATGATTGTCCGTAAAAATGTACAAAGCACAAATTAACAAACGACGAAATTAAAGGTATTTTAATTTAAGTACTGCGTAAGTTTCTTATATTATTTTACCATTTTTGGAGTAGTTAATTGTCAATTAAAACCAGTTAGTAAAGAAAAAATATAATAAAGGAAGGTTTTTAAAAAATTTTGATATAACAAGTAAGGAATTATTCCTAAAAGATCCTTATAGACTCGTAACAATATACTACATTTCAAACAAGAATGGTAAATTATACAAAATAACATGCAAGTATAAAAAATTATGCTGGCAAAACATATAGGACTTTAGATGTTCGAATAAATAAAAAAAAATAAAAAAAACAAAAAAAAACAACAAAAAAAACTAAAAAACAAAAAAAAACATAAAGAACAAAAAAACTATTTAAAATAGGGGATTTCTGCAAATTTATGGTTTGTCAACATTGAACCACACGGGCCATAAAATAGGTTTAAATAATGATAAAATTATTATAAAAGAACCAAGTACGTTCCTATATTATTGATTGAACGAGTCCCGTTTTTTTCGGCATTTATTAAATTTTTCTTGAACTCTTTATCAGTTACGAACCCTTTAATTCCAATCCTTTGGACTGTTGAAATTCCTATTTTTCTAAAATATCAGCAACTGGCTATATTAGTTAAAAACACTATTAATTTGTATTTTATATAGGAATATTACACCTCTGCATTGTACTTACTTCATATACGGCGTCCACAGGCCCAAGAGTGTCCTACCAGCGTCTCTTTCTCGAGAAAAATAATTTATAAGCTTAGCAATGAGTTCTGGTTCATTTTGGTTAAATCTTTGAGGCATTTTTGCAATAAAAAATTTGAATTTCGTTTTACAGCAACAATCAAATTTTAATTTTGACATTGATAGATGTCCGTCAATAAAATTTTTATAACCCCAAATCAAGGGTGTATTCCGTTGCTTACCTTGGTTATGGTTTTATGTTCCGTTTCTATCAGTTTCCTGACAGTTTTCTTATTACGGAACACGGTTCCTGAAAAATTCGGTTATAACTGTCACCAAACTAACCAGCGCGAGAAGGCTAGTTTTTCTGGTTTTGTTTATCAATCAATGTCATTTATGTGACAGAAATCGAATGAAATTCTCATTTAATTTCTAAAATTTGTAATAATATTTTGTATTTACATCCAAAAGCAATGGAGGTAGGCAGTAAAGGTAAATAAATTTCATTAACTAAATAGAATTACTTTTTAGGACCATTTAAACTTATCATGCAGCCATTGTTTCTTAAAGTCAGGAACATTTAAAGAAAACGTGAAAAACAAGACAACAAGCAATCGTGAATGTTTTGTAAGCTATAAAAATTTTGTTTATTTATTATTGATCTGTTTTAATATTGGACCTGCAAATCTTCACTTGAGCTGTCTAACGAGTTTAACAGTTTATTAATAAAGTAGTTTTCAATATTAAACTCCATTGAAAAGAAGAAGCAAACGTAAGCAGAGAATATGTACATTAAAAATGCATAACAAATAAATTTTATAGTAGAGGTATTGAAATTTAGAAAACGTCAACATTTGACGTTTCCAATATTTTACCAAACCGTTCCGTATCAAACCGATGTTTTTCAGGAACCGCTCTTTACCGTAGTTTACCGGTCTGGTTCACCTGGTTTTGCAACGGAATACAGTCCAAATAAATGATAATGGAAATTACTAAAAACAATATGCAGTAATTTACGAAACGCCGTAATGACGTCACCAATCTCTTTCATCTGGTTGGCAAGTGATTGAGAGACTTCGAGAATATATGACGTGAAACTGAACGGTGGCTGAACATTCTATATCTTTATTTTTTTTATTTTCTGTTTCAGTAACGAAATATACAAATATCTTCCATTACTGAAAATCCTAACTTTTATTAATAATAAACTATAAACTCAAAGTTCACGTTCCGTACGTCCTATATATAATTAAATTAAAACTTTCGGCTATAAGCCAAAGTCGCTAAAATTTAATTTCCGACAATACGATAATTGTTTTTTGATCGATTTCGATACACGATGGCTCTATACCAGAAATTATTTCCCTAACCAACTTTTAATGACAATTCATAGTTATTGTACATAAATTGGGTTATCTTAAAATGTCGCGCACATACACACTGACAAAGCCCGACCGCAATTTATTACATCTGAGACCCCAAAATGGCAGGGCGAATATTTCAATTAAACCTGATAAAGTTCAAATGAAATTTTAATTAAATACAATGTGCCGTTTGTTTATATAACTTTCTGTTCCTCTGCCTGTATAACTCTCAGAAAACTAAGTAAACATAGAGTCAATCTAAGTTATAAATAATAATGCAGTGTTGATTGGTTGTTCAAACAATTTCAAATGTAAATAAAATGGTCGAAAAAATATTAACACGTAAAAAAGGGCGTAATTACGTGGTTGTTGGGTGCAATAACATTCAATAACTCAATTTTCCCGGATATTTAACTCTCCCGGAACAACATTTTATAGCTTCACAACTTCTCACAACGATTTGATCTAAAGCAAAAATGGATTCAAGCAGGTCAACGAAACAAGTAAGTAATCATAGTGCCCATTACATAATCAAAAAATTAATATTTTTCAAATACGTTTGCAATTTTTTACAATAAACCTTTAGACCCAGATTAAAAAGCATTTGCAGAAGGTGTCTTAAAAGGGCCAAATTTAATAAAATAGAAATAAAATATCAAATAATTTAAAAATTGTAAGAGGATTAATTATTTTTAGCTGTACTTAAAAATGTAGACAAAACACCAAGTTTTTTCTTCCATAATAATAATTTAGACTTAGTGATAATGTATATATTAATTTA